TGGGTAATGATGCTGAAGCTGTCCTTGCTGCGGACCCTGAGTTGCTCACTCTTCAGGAGGTTGCAGTCCCAGGATCAGCCCCGCAGCCTCCCTGGCAAACCACTGAAGGTGATGATGATGAGTATGGTGGAGAAGGTGAAGTAGATGAGGTGAAGTTTGCCAAATAAGCAAGTGATTTTCTGTGTTAGCACACCGAAAAGCACATTGAGTGACTTCTGTATTCCTTTGCTATAATCATTTTGTGATTTGGATAAATTTTGGAAAAATATGATTTTAGAATCCTATAGTCAATGTACGTATAAGGTTTCGAGAAATAAATAGCAAAATTCATCAAAAAGAAAAGTTTGAGCCCAGTCTGGAAGACTTAGTGACTTAGCAAGATTGTGTTGCAAAATAAAAAAATCAAAAAGGGCCAGGAGTGTAGCTGAGTGTAAAGGTCCTGGGTTCAATCCCCAGCATCATGAAAAGAAAGAGGGGGGGACAGGAAGAGAAGGGGGAGGGGAGAGGAGGAGGGGGAAGGGGAGAGGAGGGGAAAGAGAGGACACAGCCTTGAACAGCTAGTAACATGGCCCTGCAAGATCAGAAGCTTTTCACATTATTATGAACATTTTAGTGGTATTTTCATGCCAACTCCATCTCCTGTGCCCACCACACATGGTGTCAAAACCCCCATGTATCAGCCATTGCTTGTGCTTATGTAGCTTGTTGAATAAAATGCAGTCATTATTAATGACAATATATCAACCTACCTACACATGTGTGCCTGTGAAGACAGGAGTTCGTTGTTTATAAGCAGATATGTAAGTTTTCTTCTTTAATAACTGCAGTTGTATTAGTTCATTAAAAATGTAATAAGTTGAAATAAGGTTTTAGCAGGTGTGGTATAGGAAGTACAAAAATGGATCACAAACATTTTTTGCTCATATTGTTATAAGTACACGTACAACATCACTAATGTAAGAAGAGTTATGATAAAAATATAAAAACAAAGAAGTTTTGTTGCTTATATACATTAACTATATTACAGATTTTATGTGCAGATGAAGACAATCCCTTTCCATTCAGCAAAGGCCAGACAAGCCAAAATATTGCAGTTCCCGATCTCCAGAATAAATACGATCCCTAGCAATATTCCAGTCACAGAAATAGGAAAAAACAATCCTGAAATTCACATGGAAGCACAACAGACCCTGTGTAGCCAAAGCAATCGTGAGCAAAAAGAGCAAAGCAGGAAGCATCACATTGACTGACTTTAAAATATACCTCAAAGCGAGGTTGTGGGGGAAAGGGAGCCCTTGCACACTGCCTGTGGGGATGGAAGTCAGAATAGCACCATGGACAACAGCATGGTGATTCTTCAAAGAATGGAAAATGGACCCACAGGGCCCAGCAATGCCACAGCTGGTGAGCATACAAAGGAAAGGACCCCAGGATGTGGGTGAGATGTCTGCTCACCTCCATTTTCACAGTAGTCAAGGAGTAGAATCACCCCAAGTGTCCACCAAATGGATGGACAACAAATACAGAGAGAATAGAGTGATATATATATATATATATATATATATATATATATATGGCAGAATATTACTCAGCCTTTATTTTATTTTATTTATTTATTTATTTTGAGACAGGTTCTCACTATGTAGTCCAGGCTGGCCTTGAATTCACTATGTAGCCCAAGCTGGCCTCGAACTGGTGGTGATCCTCAGCCTCCCAAATGCTGGGACTATAAGCATACACCACCATGGCTGGCTCAGCCTTTAAAAAGGAGGAAATCTTGTCACTTGTGACAATATGGATAAATCTAGAGGACATTATACCAGGTGTAATAAGTCAGGCACAAAAAGGGCAAATATCAATCAGTCACAGAGACACACATCTGTAATCCTAGCCCTATGGGAGGCTGAGCCAGGAGGATCATAAGTTCAAGCCAGCCAGAGCAACTTAGTGACTTAGAGAGACCTGTCTAAAAATAAAGAATAAAAAGGGCTGGATTCCATCTCCAGTACTGAAAAAAAAAAAAAGACAAATGTGAGACTCAGTCTCACTTATATGCATGGTCTCAACTACATGTGAAATCTAAAATAATTGAACATTTTAGGGTAGAGGATATAACGATGATTACCAGAGGCTAGGAATTAGGGTTGAGTGTTGGGAAGATTTTATTTTTGAAGCAAAACGTTTACTGATACATTTTATATATACATAATGATAACATTCATCATGGGGAATTTGTACTTGTACATGATACAACTTGCTCCTTCTTTCTTTCTTTCTTGTTCTCCTGTCTTCCCTTTGACCCCTCTTCCTCTCCTTATTACAAAACCATTGTTGATCAAAGGGTAAAAGAAGAAAAGAAAACCACAGACCATTGTCACATCTTCCACAGGACACTAGTAAACAGGATCTAGTAACACAAGAAAAGGGTTAGACATTATGACCAAGTGAGATTTATCCCAGGAATGCAAGGTTAGTTCAACCACCAAAAATCAATTAACATAATACACCATATCAATAGACTAAAACACATAATCACAGTCATCTCAATAGATGTAGAAAAGGCAGTTGACAAAATCAAACATCCCTGCATGATTAAAAAGAAAACACTCAACGCATTAGGAATAGAAATGAACATTCCCAACCTGGTCAGGAGCATGCTAAACACACACACACACACACACACACACACACACACACACACGTAACAGCACACCTTGGGGGCCACAAAGCCTTCCCCTCAAGTTCATAAACAAGATCAGAAGTGGCTCTCACAACTTCTATTCAACACTGTGTTGCAGGTTCTAGCCAGGAAAACTGGGTGAGAAAAAGAAACAAAATGCATCCAGGTTGGAAAGAAATAAAACTCTCTCTCTCTTTGCAGAAGACATGATCTTGTATATGGACGATCCCAAATAATCCACAAAAGAAAAGAAGGAAGGAAGAAAGGAAAGAAGAAAGAAGGAAAGGAGGAAGAAAAAAAAGGCTAGAGGTAATAAATATAAGTTTAGGAAGGCTGTAGATACAAGATCAATACACAAAAACTAACTATTTCTATACCTCAGCAGTGAAGATCTAGAAATGAAATTAAGACAATAACTCCATTTATAGTGTAGAGATGAACATATTTAGGAAGAAATATAATGAAATAGGTGAATGATTTGCACCCTGAAGCTGCCAAGCATCTTCATTCGAAAGCAATCAAAAAAAGACCTAAATAAATGGAAAGACATCTGTGTTCATGGACTGGAAGACTAAATTTTGTTCAGAGCAATGCTGCCCACATTTATTCACAGATTCAATGCATTTCCTGGTAAAATTATAGCTGCTTCTGTTTTTTTTTGTTGTTGCAAAAATTGACAAGCTGATTCTAAAATTCATATGGAAATGAAAGAGACCCAGAATAGCCAACAACAATTTTGAAAATGAAGAGCAAAGTTGGAAGACTCATATGTCCCAATTTGAAAACTTACTCCAAAGCTGCAGTAGTCAAAATTGTGCAGTGCTGACAAAGCACAGACTTTGTAAGTCAGTAAAGTGGAATGGAGAATCCAAAAGGAAGGCCCTACAGCTATGATCAATTTATCTTAACAAAGTGCCCACACATTCACCTGGAAAAGAGGTCTTTTCAACCCCGGGTACTGGGAAGACTGGATATCCACGTGCAAAAGAATGATCCTACCTCACATCATATACCAAAATCAAATCACAAAGGATCACAGATCTGAACAAAAGAGCCCAAATGCTAAATCTCAGGAAACATAAGTATTAATCTTCATGACCTTGGATTAGACATCAAAGGTTTCTTAGCTATAATACAGAAAGCACAAGCAACAAAAGAAAAAATTAATAAATTGGACTTTATCAAAATTAAAAATTTTTGTGCTTCAAAGGAGACCATCAAGGAAGTGGAAACTTACACCACAAAATGGGACAAAATATTTGCAAACCATATATCTTACAGGGGTGTAGTATCCAGAATGCATAGAGTACCTGCAACTCAACAACAAAAAGATATTACTCAATTTAAAAATGGGCAAAGGATGGGCTGGGGATTTAGCTCAGTGGCACCATGCCTGCCTGGCAAGCACAAGGTTCTGAGTTGGATCCCCGGTACCAAAAAAAAAAAAAAAAAAAGAAAAAGAAAAAATATATATATATGAAAAGTGGGCAAAGGATTTGTTTTTTGTTTTTTTTATTTTTTATTTTTGGCAAAGGATTTGAATAAGCATTTTTCCAGAGAAGACATACAAATGATCAGTAGGCCCATGAAAAGATGCTTAACATTATCAGTTTAAAGAAACCCTGTCTCAAAAAAATAAAATAAAATAAAATTTGGAAAAGGGACTGGACATGTAGCTCAGTGGTAGAACACTAACCTAATATGTGTGAGGCCCTGGATTCAATCCCCAATACCACAAAAAACTTCTACATATTGTTTCACAGCAACATTACCCATAAAAGACAAAGCCAAAATGTTCACCAACCAATGAATGGATAAATAAGATGGACTCTCTCTGCACAACAGTGATTATTCATTCAGCCTGAAAAAGGAACAAAGCACTTTTTCATGCTACAGTCCCAGGAAACCTTGAAAACAAGACACTATGCAAAAGAACCCATAAGCCAAGCTCCACAGCTCCTGTGAGTCATGGACCTGAGATGTTCAGAAGAGATAAACTGGCTGATTCATAAAATAGACTAAGCTGTGGGGAGGAGAGTTGAGGCTCTCGAGGGGCGATAGAAATGTTCTGGAATTAGATGTTGCTGGTCACCCAGCTTCGTAAATATACTGAAAAAAAACCCCCACTGAACTGCATTCTTTGAGAGGGTGACTTTGAAATGCTACCGATTGCAACAAAAATATGACTTTTCTGGCTGGGGATTTAGCTCAGTGGCACTGCGCCTGCCTCTCAAGCGCAAGGTCCTGAGTTTGATCCCCAGTACCAAAAAAAAAAAAAATAATAACATTGCTCAATAAAATAATAAAAAGAAAAACATACCCAGCATTTCTATCAGGAGGCTTCCAGCAGCTGAGGATAGAAACACAACCTCTGCAGGTATCACGGGGCAGGAAGCTTGTTGGCTGGTGGTGGCAGCTAGGTTGAGGTGGAGGAGCCCGGAGGATGGACAGACCCAGGCCTTTCCAGCATTTCTGTGCCGTCGCCCGCAGGCAGGTAGTGACACATCTCAGGTCATCCTGCACCACATCTGGGCAAAACGGTGTCTACAGGAAGGGAAGAGAGCTCATCTTCCTCCCATCTTTTCTTAAGAAAGAGGAAAATGTTCCCAAAGCCACCAGAGACACACCCTTCCTCCTGTGACCAGAGCTGGCTCCTGGATCCACCCCCAGCCAAGCACTGCAGCAGGAACAGGGTTCTTTAGACAGCCGAGGCCCAGTCTGGATCTTGCAGTGCTGATGACTTTCCGGGCAGCTGTGAACTGGTTGTGGAAGTTCCTGGAATGCTGAGGTAAGGAAGAGCTAGCAAGGAAGAGCAAAGGGTGCTGGCTTGGAGGCCACTGGGTTAGTGAAGCTCTCGATCTGGCCATCTGCGGTACATTTCATCGCCTCCTAGTACCACAGCTTATCAGTAAGCCTGAAAAAACGCATGGTCAGTGTGAAATCCTGTTGTGACCCACACTGGAGTAGGGCCAACCAAGGAGGCTCCTTCACAGCCAGAGATTCCCGGAAAGGTTCCATCTCCTGGGACCTGGGAGTCTCCAGCCAGCCAGGAACCAGCGAATCCCACCTGGAAATGGCAGGCCTGAGTCTCAAGCGTGAGAGTTAGAAGTCCCACTGCAATTTTAGAGTGTCCCAGTCCTAGTCACAAATGGAAAGATAGTTTACAAAAAGAGGAATAAGCCCCAAAGCCATTTCTAAATGATCAGGAGACAGGAACAGCTGCTTCCTTGGATAATATAAACTGATGCCGGCCCACAGGCACTGAAAAAGTGCTCTGCCTCAGGCATCCTCACTCCTGAGACACAGAGGTCCAGACAGCAAGTGTCTGTGAGGACACAAAGCAGGGGCCAGCCCAGCCAGGGGAGTGGGAAACAGTAGACCCACTTTGCGGAGCAATCGGCAGGGCTTTCACTGTTTTGTTGCTTTGCTTTGTGGCACCAGGGATTGAACACAGGGCCTTTGCACTGAGCCACATCCACTGACCTTTCCTGTCTTTTATTTTATTTTATTTTAATTGGTACCCAGGAATCGAATTGGGGACCTTGTGCTTTCGAGGCAGGAGGCAGCACCACTGAGCTAAATCCCTGGCCCTCCTGTCTTTTATTTTGAGACAGGGATTCGCTAAGTTCCTCAGGGTGGGCTCTAACTTGTGTTCTCCTGCCACAGTCTTGCAGGGTGCTGGGATTACAGGCTGGTGCCACCAGGCCTGGCCCTAAAACTGTAAATTTCTTAGGAAGTCAAACCACACCCACTCCGGGACCGGGTCCACCTCCAGTTACTCATCTAGCAGAAACACAAACACGTCCACAGGGACGGACCTGGCCGGGGCTCAGGCAGCCTTCCTCACAGCCAGAGGGGAAGGAGCCAGGCGGTGGAGCTCAGGGAAGGGGGGGGGGGCGCGGGGCGGTGCACGGCACAGTAGATGCGCACCTGGTGAGGAGCGGGTGCTGCCCTAGACCTGTGGGCGCAAGGAGCCCGCGCAGAGGGAGGCTGAGGACTCCAAATGCTGGCGGAGAGCAGCGCCTGCGAATGGGATCCGGACGGGGAACCCTGGCGGGGCGCCGGAAACACCCCCGGGGCGCTGGGGAGCCCTGAGAGGTGTCTGGCCGGGTCTGGGATTTCTCCTCTGCCCCCTCCTTCCGGAACATCTGGTGCCCCGGAGTGGGGAAGAGCAGAGGAGAGGCGCTGCGCCTTCCGAGAAATCGCCTTTCCAGCTCCTCTGCGCTGAATGTAGACGCTGACTCACCGCGGGGGCGGAGGCCGAGGCAGGAGGCAGCGGCCGCCCCCAACCTGTCTGCGGTCCCCTCGGTGCAGGCGGGATGAGGGGAAGAGGGGCTTGCACCTGGGGACAGAGCCGGGGCGTCCTGTCATTGGGCCCCAGGTGCTGGGTTCCCTGAAGGATGCGGAGGCCGGCGGGGCTCAGGGGCGGGGCCGGAGTCTCGCAGCGGGGAAGGCGTCTAGTTGCTCCTGTCTCAAGGGGGAAGGCGGGGGCTCTGTACTCGGTGTCGCTCACCCGCTCTGGGGGCTGGTGGGCTCCCTCACCCACAGCACCTCTGGGAGGGCAGCAGGGGACAACGACTGTTTCCGGCTGCAGGAGGAGGCACCTAGGACCCCGGCCTCCACCAGGAGCATGGTGCGGACCCGCATGATCTTGTCTCAAAATAAAAACTAAAAAGGGCTGGAGACAGCTCAGGGGTAGAGCACCCCTCGGAGTGCTCAACAGCCAGCAGCTGGCAGGACAGCAGGCCTGTGAGAGCCTTTCCCAGATCGCAGGGAAGCTTGGGGTGACAGGGAAGGTGGCTGGGGTAGTGTGGGGCCCTCTGGGGACTCGCTGTCCCTGCTTCTCCGCTCCTCCCGGCCCCCTGTGTGACACCCGACCAGTGTGCTGTTGGTGGACAGTGGGCCCAGGACAAGTGCGGCTCCTGGGTCTGTCCTGAGCCCCTCTGCGACGCCTGGGTGTCTTTGGAAGGCTGGCCTGGCGGGGGAGCGGCCTCTGTCCAGAAACTCTGCCCTGTGTTGAGAAGCCCTGGAAGCTGTGGCTGGGAATCGTGTCACCCATTGGGACTTCAAAGGATGGACACAGGGCAGGGCCCAGCTGAGGACAGATGGGCAGCCTGCCCACTGGCTCTCAGGCCAGAGGCTGGGTGGACGCCGTCATCCCCTTACACCTGGGCTGTACCCACAAGGCTGGGCAGGGTGGAGCTGTCCCCCGAGGGGACCACTGGCCCAGCCTGCCCATGGCCAGCCCTAAACACACGTCCTCCCGGCCTGTCTCCTGGAGCTTGGTCACAGCAGCTCTTATCAAGTGAGATCAGAGCATTTTTCTTCCTTTCAGTTCATGATCGCTCCCCATAGGGCAGACTTTGTGAATTGTTTTGTGAAAACTTGGCATTTGGAGACTTCCTAACGGTTTTTTATTGTTCACAGTTCTGGAAACAACACACACATATCCGAGTATACACGTTTATATACTAGGTTTTACTTTTTTCTTTCTTTTAGTTTTTTGAGACAGGGTCTCACTGTGTAGCCCAGGCTGGCCTCACACTCACAGCAATTACAGACGTGCACCACAGTGCCCAGTTTAGGATTTACCGTTTTCTATGCGAAGAGTCTTAGATGGAGTTATAACGAGAGTCTGCACAATGTATCAGTCTAGGACACTCACCTTGATTAGTTCTTACCTTTTCGACTGTTGTCACCCCAACCAAACCCAGGAGTAGGGCACCTTCACCTCCCAGTACTACCAAGCCAATAACTGAAGCCCTGTCCCCACCCAGCCACCCATGCTCGGCCAGCCCAGGGACTTTCCGCTGTTGGAAACTCGGTGCAGTGGCCCCTAAGCTGTCCTCTGCTGTCTGGGCTCTTGCGCTTGGCAGTGGCTTTGACGCTGGGTCACATTGCTGTATTTCGCGGAAGCTTTCTCGCTGGTTGCTAACCAGGGTGCCAGCACGTGACCACCTCGTTTATGTGGTCCCTAGCTGGTGGACAAGGGCCTCTTAGTCCACCGCAACAGACACAGCTTGGGGGGAATCTCAGGGAACAGAGCATGGGGATAAACACAGGGACACTTCACTTTCATCTACCTCGACTTTTATTTTGTGAGGCCCCCAGAGGGACAGTGATGTCACAAAGTCACAGGGTTGTCTCTGGCCTATCGAGACTTCTTTTTCGGACTCCCGTATCTCAGTGGATCTCCTAAACAGGTGAAAAAATGACTCCCTTACTTCCTGAGAAGATTTTTATGTGCTTTTCTATACACAGGATTCCCTAGGAACACGCAATACAGTTTATTTCCATTGTGCCACAAACTCACCTGTGATGAGGTGAGAGATCTACAGATGTCCATAAAAGAGAAACACTGTAATCCCAGCACATAAGAGGCTGAGGCAGGATTGCTGGGAGTTCAAGGCCAGCCTGGGCTACATAGTGAGACCTTGTCTCGAAAAAACAATCATTCTTTCTGGGAAAGTGGATCTTGGAGAGTGGAAGGAATGCGGGCTGCAGCCACCTCTGGCTCGGCCACCCACCCACCACATGACCTGGGCAAGTCCTTCCTCACTGGGGACCACACCTTCCTCATTAGTAAAGTGGGGCTCTCTTTCCCGGCCTTGCTTGCCTCCTGAGGGGAGATGAGACTCACCCTCGGATGTGGGTCACTTCTCTCGAAGGTCACCCGGTCACCGTGATGGTGAGGTGTTGGGACCAGTGCCTCCCACAGCTCCCTGCCAGGAACCGGGTGGACCAAGGGGGCGCTGGGGTCTGCTCATTGTTCTTCTGACTTGTGTTCTGAACTTGGGCTCCGAGTTCCGGGAAACAATCAGGTTCCTGGCCAGGGCCCGCCTCAGGCCACCTGGAAACCTCAGGAAAGTCCAGACATCTGGCCTCTGCTGTCACAGTTCCAAGCAGCACCTCAGTCCGCTGATTTTGGAATGCACGCCTTGGGTGAGTGGCTTTACTTCTGGGGCCTTCAGTTTGCCCATCTGTGAAATGGGAAACTGTGGCCCTTACCCCGAAAGGCTCTGGGGCACTGTGTTTGTGCAGTTAATGACACTGCTGTTAAGGACAAAGCTGGGCCTGGAGCACTGCTTGTTGATTGAGTGATCGATGCTCAGCAGAGGGGCAGGGCCAGGCCGTCCACTTCGTGGCTCTACACACATGGCAGAATACACCTGGGTATTGCTGATGTCCACCAGCTGAATGCTTGGCACACAGTAGTTGCTCAGTAAATTCGAATTCATGCCACACCCTGGCAGGTTGGAGAAGACCCCCAAACTTCTTCAGGCCTGACAGTCACCACTTCCTTCTGCTCAGCCATTTAGCTGGGGCTCATCTACCCCCCACATACCCCCACGGGGCCTCGTTCCCAACAGGCAGGGAAGGGAACTCAGCAGGGCAACTTTCAGGGGCATTGTCAACCAGGCAGAGCTGGTGTGTGACAAGCACCGAGTCCACTCTACCCACTCTCCATCAGTCATTCAGTCATTCACCAAGTCTTCATTGAGCACCTACTGTGGCCCGAGCATATGTGGCTAACGGGCAGATTCCTGCTTCTTTGCAAGACAGGGCATCCTCAGGAAAGCTGCAGGATGGAGGGTGGGGTTGGGTGGCAGAGAGCAGCTCTGGAAAGCACTTTGGTGGCCGAAGAAAACTGGAGGAGAATCCTGGAAACATCGGCTTCCCCTGTGCCCTCCCCTGCTGGGCTCAGGGCTTCTGGCTGCAGCCCGTGGGTGGCAAGGAAGACGCCCTTGGGGGTTGGCAGGACTGTCCCAGGTCCCTCCCTGCTGGTGAGGGCACAGCTGTGGCCTTCAAGGAGGAGGCTTGGTTGTAGCTCTGTGGCTCCTGGGCCATTCCTGTAAAGGACCCAGGCCCACCTGAAACACACAATTCTGGGCCCTTCTTGTTTGGTTCTGTTTGTTTTCATTTCTTGAGGTGGGGACTCGCTATGTAGTGCAGGCTGGTCTTGAACTCACTGTGCAGCTGAAGCTGGCCTTGGACTCACGATGATCCTCCTGCTTCAGCCTCCTGAGTGCTAGGATTACAGGCGTGTGCCACCATACCCAGCAGGTCTGGTCTGGGCTCTTTTTGGTGGCTGGCAATTAGGAATGAGGGAGAAGGTCCCCAGCAGTCTGTGTAACATGTTATCAAATTCAATTAAATGCAAGGCAAACCTCATATTCCAGAGGTACATTCTGTGACTCACAGGCCGCAGCAGGCAACCAGGGTCATCCTGGGTGGGTGGCAGGAGCAGGATCTATTAGGTCCCAGGAGCCCTAGTCTTGCAGGATTCACACTTGTTCGTGTCAGCACGGGGAGCATCTCTAGCTTGGCCCAGTGGTAGCATCCAAACCCCACTCACCCGTCAACAAGAGCCTGTTTCCCCCATCTGGTAAGCTGCTAAGATGTCACCCTTGGAAATATGTTCATTTCTAACGGTCCCTCTGCTGGTTGGGTCCACACTGGAGACAAAGACACCCTAGTCCCGTGGCCTCAGGAGACAGCATGGGGCCTCTGAAGAGGATGCTGGAGTCATCCCTGGACCTCAGGTCCAGGCAGCTGCCTGCCCTGGTACGGAGCCTAAACCAAGAATGTACATTCTTGTCACATTATCAGCTCGGAAGTATAGGGAGCGTTGGACATCATGATGTTTGTTACCCAGCACCTCCTTTGTCTCAGGTCCTGGTGGTCATGCTCAGGCCTGGGCCCCCATGTTTTCCTCCTAGAAGCTGTATCTGAGGGATGTTGACAGAGTCAACCCCGATCCCTGACATTCTTGGTTGTGCTACTCATCCATTTGCTCGTCCCCATTCCCGGGGGCTTTCCCTGTGCTGAGGACCATGCCAGCGCTAACTTCCTGTCTCCCTGTGGGACAGCAAGCTGCAGCCTTGGGGCTTGGCGCAGTGTCGGTGCTCAGGAAACATGGTCACCCCAGCACCCTGTCATCACATCCCCACTCGAGTCCCTTACACAGATCCCATGGGACCCACACCCATCCTCCTGACCTCAGTGCCCTCCTGTGACCTCTAATACCTCTCACGATGCCAGTGCTGTGGGAACGGCTATATCGCCCAGGGACCAAGGAGAAGAAAATGAAGGTCTCTACGCGATCAGTGCAGACACAACACTTTTCCACGCAGTGGTGATCCAAACATGGTGGGGTATATCTGTGAGGGACAGGGAGGGTTGACGTCCCATGTCAAAGTCCCTCACTTGATACAGCTGCCATTTGGCCATGAGATGATGCACAAAGGGACCCTGAGGCCACTCTTGCTGCTCACGTGTGACCTGAGCGAGGAGGGGCCTGGCTGGGTTGAGTGAGTGGCTGGCAGAGATGCTGCCTGGCCCGGTGGGGTCCTGAGTCCCCTCCAACACAGGGTCACTGCATGCTGGTGTGAGGCCGCTCGGGGCTGGGGAGTTAGTGTCACACTCACTTCGGGACCTGAGAAGCGGGTGGCCAGGTCATTTCTGCAGGGACCAGTTGGCCGCAGAGCTTCAGTTCCCTGAGGTTTGCTGGGGAGGGGCCCAAACAACAGGCCGAGTCACAGTCCTGGAACCCCAGAGCTGAGGGTCAGTGAACACCCCTTGCACCCACAGGTAAAGCTCGGCTTGAACACAGCCATTCTCATCCGTTTGTTGTCAGTGGGAGACAACAAGGACTCTGTGTGTCCCATGAAACTGGAAATACTGACCACTGGCTGTGACAGAGGTTGCTGGTATAGAGGCCAAGTAGGCACAGAAAGAGGAGCAAGGGAGGGAAGGAGAGAAAAGGGCTGAGGAAGAGCCCTACTGCCTCCCAGCTGCACTGAAACTTTGTCTTGTCCCCACCATGAAGTATTGAGGGCCGATTTTAATCCAACATTGGCATTGGAGGGGTGGCCTTTGGGAGGCACAGAAGGCTAAATGTAGCTATATATTGGCCCTGGCCTCCAGTCCACAGGACAGTGGCTCAGGAGAGGGGAGCCTGGAGCCCAGGCACTCTACCCCACCTCGGGACGCAGAGCCCACATAGCAGGAGGCCCTCGCTGGATTTTCTAGACTGCAGGACCATGAGAAATAGACCTCTCTCTTTTCTTGGTACCAGGGATTGAACTCGGGCCCTTGTGCTTGCGAGGCAGGTGGCAGAACCACTGAGCTAAATCCCTGGCCCTAAAATGGCTGGAGTTTATCCTTCAAGGATTTTTTTTTTGGTACCGGGGAATGAACTTGGGACCTCTGCAGGTGCCAGAGCCACTGAGCTGAATCCCCAGCCCTGAAATAGACCTCTCTTCTCTGTGTGCTGCCCAGCTGGTGATATGCAGTTCTGGCAGCAGAGGGCCCATTCAGATGCTGTGGTTCTGGGGTTATGGGGTTCAGGAGAGATGAGCTGGGCTTTCTAAAGGGGGGATCAGATTTTTCCTGCAGGGTCACCTCCTGGAGCACAGCTGTGACTTGACACACTTGTGTGACAGTGGGGTGTGCCCACTCTGCTAGTGTGTGTGTGTGTGTGTGTGTGTGTGTGTTCACTCATCCTGTGTCCTCGTATGTGTAAACCTTAGGGGACTTTGTTTAAGGAAAATATTTCAAATTTATCAATACAACTTAGGCACACCTATGTATATTTAGAATTTTTAAAAAATCACTGTGTTTTAAGAATTTAAAAAACTGGCAAGTATCAGAAATATCATAAAACCTAGAAAAATTGTGCATTATCCTTTTTTTTTTTTTTTTTGGAGACAGGGTCTTGCTATGTGGATCAGGCTGGCCTTGAACTCACCATGGAGCCCAGGCTGGCTTCCAACTCATGGTGATCCTCCTGCCTCAGCTTCCCAAGTGCTGAGATTACAGGCATCATGCTCAGCTCCAGGACTACTTTTTAAGCATTGTCCACTTCCAATCTTGGGAGCTTGTTTGGAGGTCCTAGCAGAGAAGCACAGCTACTGTATACCCTTGACCAAGGAAACAGTCCTCTATTGTGGATGGTTGTCCTCTTGGACCAAGTGTACAGCTTTGGGAGGGATGCATATGGAGCAGTGGGGGAGGAAGGGGACACCCATCAGCCAAATCAATCCTGGTGAGCAATGGGGTGACAGATGTCACAGCCAGATTGCCCTCACATCCAAGTCCACTCCCAATCTTGTCTCTCTTCTGTGACCCACACATTTCTGCTGCTGGGCATCAGACCACTCACTGAGATGTTTGAACAGCACTTCTGGCTCCCCAGCGCAGCAGGGCCAGTCCTGGCCACAGTGCAGAATAACAACCTGTATACAGAAGGGACGGTGAGACACTGTTTTATGTCACAGTGGTCCTACATCAAATCTATCCCCAAACAACTTCCTCCAAATGCCACTTGTCACAAGGGGCAATGTGACAGAAGTCAGAGTAGAATGAGCTTGTGCTGACTTGTTAGAATGTGTGACTTTCCCCAAATGTCCATTGTCTGATGAAAGGATAAACAAATGGTGGCACATCCTTCCATACAAGGGAACATTATTCAGCCATGAAAGGGAATGAAGGGCTAACACCAGCCACCACAGGGATGAGCCCTGTGTGTTGTATGATCCCATTGATATGAAATTCCCCAGAGAAGCAAATCTGTTAGGTCAGAGTACAGATTACAATCCACCAGGGCTTGAGAAGACGGCAATGAGGAGTGACTATTAATGGCTATGGAGCTTCTTGTGGGGATGAGGAGAAAATTCTAGAATAAGATGGTGGCGGCAGCTGTGTAATTCTGTGACTATGCCAAAAATCACTGCATTGTACATGTGCTAAAAGGTGAATCTTACAGTATGTGAATTCTCAATGAAGCTATTGCTTAAAAGAGAATATTAGTTTTGCAAGTTTTACATGATCATATATCCAGGTGAACACATTACTTGGGATCCTTCTATGATAAACTCCTTTGAGGCATATATGTGTCTCAGTCACCTATTGATAGAGCAATGCTGTGTAACAAACAACTACAAGCCCTTGTGTCACACCCAACACACGTGTCTGGCTCTCGAGTGGGCTGCACTGGGCTGCTCTTCTGGCTCTCATTAGCCTCACACTCTATGGCTGGCCACAGGCTGGCTGATCTAGGATGGTCTCAGCTGGGTCGGATGGCATGACTTGGTTCTGTCCCTGGTGTCAGGCTAACATACCAGGCATGTTTTTCACCATGAAGGCAAGGGTCACAGCAGGGTCACCTGTCTCCAGTTGCTGCAGGCATCACGCCTGCTAATGCTGCATCTGCCACAGCAAATCACATGCTGACCCTTCTCCACACCGAGGACTGCACAGTCAGGTGTCCAAACAAGTGGTGTGGTGATCACAAGAACTGTAGTGAAACCAGCTGTGGGTCTGCATCCATGCAAAAGGTGTCTGCAGCCATCTGTGTGTGTACAGGTTCTCTGGGTGTACACGCATGTGCTACACATGCACATTCTGGAAGAGCTCAGCGGTGTTTCTGCTCACGTGTCTGTGCCAGCGTGCAATGCCTGCACCCCAATCCCACACCAGTGGGGTTCTGGCATCCTGGGTCCTCGCCTGCCATGTCCCCAAGAAGGCAACTCTTAGGGAAGTCAGGAAGGTGGGTTCCAATACCAGCTCTGCCACCAGCTGGCTCAGGGGTGACTCAGCCCCCATGCTCTGGGCTGTGGAATGGGGAGGCTTCTTCCCAGATCCCCGAGAGCGCCTGGGCAGGGTTTTGAACAGGCATTGCGGTGGGAGGCTTTGTTAGCTCTGGAGAAGCTGGGGGTGGTGGGGAGTAATCTCCTTGCCCACTCCTGACCGGAAGGCTCAACCCCTCAGAGGTGGCTTCATGTCTCTGAGTGTGTTTCCATGGCAACTGCTGCCTTCCACTCTGCTCTGCTGCTGCATGCAGAATGGGTCTCTCTCATCCCCTCATTGCTGGGCTGGGATGCCATGGGGGAGGGGTAGGCTCACCGGAAGTCCTCTTCCTTCCTGAGCAGCTGAAAAGATGCTGGAGGCCGTCGGCTTGGTTGTGGCTGGCCTACTCCTCTGCCATCCTGGCAGGGCCACTTGAGCTGTCCTGGGGGATCTGTTGAGCTGGTAGCATCTCTCAGAACCCTCGAGGCAGCTTCTGCCAAGCTGCCTCCCATGTTTCCTCCCAAAAGTCAGATTCAGTGGGACTGAGGTGGTGCCAGCACTGGGTGTCTAATGCTGTCTCCAGGAGACCAGGATGGGGACTCAGGGAACAGCACCTGGAGAATCAGACGCCACTGCCATGGGTGCTGCTGGTCCCCTACACACGACCGGCGCCCTCTCTCATTCACTGCCTGAGTCACTCGGGAATGGGCCTGCTTACTCATGCAATCACTGCTGCTTCCTCTTCTTCCCTTTAGACTGTCACCCCTCGTTTACTTACTTGTTCATTTGAGCAGACATTTATGGCTCTCTTCAGCTCTGGGAGTAGAGAAAGCATTAAGAACAGGGTCCCTTCTGCCCTATAGGTGCTGGGTTTCTTAACTGGAGGGAAACAAGTGACTGGATGGACGAGCATGCTTTTCAGAAAAGAAACAGAAGACCACAACAGAAAACACCAGTGTGCGTAGCCGGCAGCAGAGGGGCAGGGGGTGCAGATGCTTTGGGGTGAGGGATGAGTGATGCCACGGGCTGTCTGCTTAGGGCTGCAAGAAAAGTCGGCTGGGAAGTGGCTTAAGAGGTAAAATAAGCAGGCAGTGATGGACAGAACTGGGGAGGAGGGATGGGTTGCAACCCCACCATGCTCAGTCCCTGAAGCGGCAGCCACCTAGGACCCAGGGGGGAGGAGGCCGTGGAGGAAAATGGGCTCCCGGTTCTGCGGTGCTTTATGCGCCCCTGTCTTCAGCACAGCCTATTTCCCGGCCCCCCGAGTCGAAAGGTTTTATAAGGTTAGCATGTGTGTCCTTTATGAAAGCGGGGACAGCAGCTCACGGTGGAGACCCCCAAACAGAGGGGCGCCCACTGCTGATCTGCCTGACTGAGCACCGCCAGGCCTCACAGGGACAGTGCAGGCCTCAGGGCTGAACCCTGTGCGAAGGCTGCTATCCCCCAGGCCAGGCCTCACCTAGCCCCTCGGAGCCCGCCTGGCTACAGGCAAGCAGCGCTCCCCACGGTAGTTACTTTCCGCCAGCCACCTGCCTTCCTTCCCAGGCCAGGCCTCACCTACCGCGCAGGGCTCATGGCGGGAAGAGCTGGGAGGACCTGTTCAGAGGTGTGAGTCAGGTCACACTGGCCTGCCTGGCCCTGCTCCTTCTGTCAGAGCCCAGGTCCCCTGGGGGCCTCCTGTGTCCCTCCTAGCTCAACCCACTGGTCCCCTCTGCTCCTCCGGCTCAGACCCCGCCCTGCCGTGAACCCGTAGGACGTGTGACTTCCACAGAAGGGTCCCTCGGCACCAGCACCATCGAAATCTTCGCCTCCTGACAGCACGGGCCCTGCTCTCTTCTCTGCGTCACCTTTTCTCCGTGTCACCTTCCCTAATACGACACTCGAGAGATTTTTCTTGTCCCCTTCGTGGCCGGGCACAGAGGGGGTTCTGAGGAAGCACCACGGAGGAGTGAATGAGTGGACACAGCTGGAAGCCAGGCGGCATCTGGCCAGGGTCACCCAGCTGGAAGTGACCGGAAGGGCTGCTCTCTGACGCTCCTGCTTGAGTCCCCTCCCTCTCTGGCTGAGCCTGGGCCTGGCAGCCAGGCAGCAGCGCCCCCTGGTGGACACAAGGCTGACTGACAGCCACTCGCTGCGGCTCAGCCTGGCGATGGCCAGCGAGCCGGAAGCCACTGGGCAGGGTGTGGGCCCAGAGATGCCAGGGCATCCTCACTATGTACAGCAAGGCTGCGGGCACAGCAACTCGGCTATCACTGCCTGGGCTTACTTCCTGCCTCGACCACTTCCTAGCTGTGCGATGCTGACCAAGCCCCTGGTCTATATGCCGGGCGTAGCTGTGGTGCCCACCTCTGAGGGCTGTCAGGAAGATGAAGCCAACAATGCTCACGTGCCACGTCCTCGGGGAGGCCCTCCTGGATTGCTCCCCTCTGAAGGAGCTTTCCCACCATCTAGTCATTCGCTACCCTTTCCCTCGGCCTCTTTTTCTTTGTAGCACAAACCACTGCCTCACATTGTAACGCTCCTTCTTTACTGTCCTTCCTACCCGCAGCTCTGTCTCG